CCTGAGTGGAAATTGGCATCATAGTTAATTTCTTTTGCTAAATAAGTGAATTTGTTTCTTGTTTTTGCAAAGGTGATACATCACCTTTACCTACAGATATGATTTAAAAGATGATTAAATATTGATATTTCTTAATAAAGAGCTAAAATATTTAATGGGGTGTCCTAATTTTTTCACCTGACTATCACCATATTGGGTGTCCTGTAATTTCTGGATCTATGTGTTAGTATAGAAATCATGCATCACAATGTTTTAATATTCCGGTTGTGTCTGAACATGTGCAAAAACATCGTTGTCAGCAGTAATTGATAAATGTAAGGAATAGGTTGCTACAATTAAGTTACAATTAGAACAAACTAGGGCTGTCAAAATTGTCAAACAATGGCAATTAACCGGGCTAGAATTGAATTTCATGATTAGTCGGATTATTTGTCGGATTTACAGTAGTTCGGGCTAATTGTAAATGAACGAAGATAAAGACCATTTAAACTGAGGTACCTTAAATCCGACAAGTAGTCCGGCTAAGCAAAAAATCTAGTTTTTTGATATGGGTCCATGGTATTGCACTTCTGTGACAGATGGAATGCATCCGACTCATGTTCAAGATGTTCAATAAACACGTTAAGTGCATATATATTCCCTTTTTTCTTGAGTCTGTTTGCTCATACAAAATGAAATGTGATTAATATAGATTTAAAATGAATATTTAATTGTGATTAATCAAAATTAATCCACAGCAACCCTGTGATTAATCTGATTAAAAAAAAATTATCGTTTGACAGCACTAGAACAAACATTATCATAATATGCATAATATGCATAATATAGGTCAAGACAGGGATGGGCCGATTTTTTCAGTTCCGATGCAAATCTGCAAATTTCAATACAGATTCTGATACAAGTGCTCTTTATATAATGCTCTTTATATAATGATATAATAAGTGTAAAGTATATATACTGTACATACACACTATTTTTTTAAACTAGTAAATACAAATAAAAAAAATATAGGCTAAAAAAACCTTTAATTAGGCTTCTGGTAACATACCAGAAAGCACTGTTCCACCTCATTTGTACATGTTGTTTTAAGCCTTTATGATGCATTTGCAGTTCAATTTGAATATCTTCCAAGAAAGTTCATGCAAGTGGCATATGCTTAAAATGCCCTACAATTTTTCTGTCACTGGCAACAGCGTCACTTACACTTCGTTGCAATAGCAGCCCCTCGTGTATCCCAAGCTGTAGCGAGTGCACAAAATAGCCCAAGCTAGCGACTCCCAAATCATCCATTGCTTTTTTTTCCATATTATTCGTGTTGCACAATTTCGTGCACTTTGTTTAGTGGGATTTTCCACTAAATGCTGCTTCCACCTCTCAAAATTGTTTTTACAAGACTACAAATTGCTGTGCTACTAGTTGCTGTTAAATGCGTAAAATCCTTCCAAAGCATCACCCTCTTTTCGGACATTCTTACACTCCTCATACCGCAAGGTTATGCGCATGATGTCACAGGAGGTGGAAGTCACCGCATTCATGCCTTTTGAGTGGCAAAAAAAAAAAAAAAAAAAAGAGGCACCGCTAGCCTTCAGCATAAAACCGGGAGGGCACATGTCCCAGCATGCCCTACATGCAGTTGTAAATAGCCCTTGTATTGTTGTTGTTAATAATAATAATAATAAATAATAATAATAATATTATTATTAATGGTTATATTTCCTTATTGTTGCACATGTGTTTGCACTGTCCGATCCTCGTGTGTAATTAGCTTACGTAAATCTCCCACCGTGTGTGTATCTTACAGTTCAGCGTCTGACAATTTTGTGTTTCTTATGTGTAATGGGTTCAGTGCTCGTTGGGTGCCTGATGTAGTCCTTTTCAGGACTGCTAATAAAGAGTGTATTCTCCCCAGCAAGCGAGTCTCCGTGTCTCTTTCTGCTCCTGCAATGGCTCAGTCTGCCTGATGCCACATTGGTGTTAGAAGTGGGATCCCGGAAGCAATCCTGTTGGCACGGCTGGAGCGAGCGCTGATCACCATCATCTGGCAAGTTTACTCCAGCCTGGTGGACCTTGAGGCAGCAGAGAAGCGCCGGCACCCCATGAGGGACGAGAAGCTCATCTACTGGTGCTGTGGGAGAGCAGGGCACCAGGCTCGCTACTGCCCAGAAGCTTGCACCAGAGCCTCTGGCAGACGAGCAGGGGACACCGGGGAAATAGAGGCACCACCCACTCTATCTGGGATACACTAGACCCACACTGCACGCCCTGAAGCCACTCCTGCCTGCCCGCCAAAACCTTGGCAAAAACGACATCGGCGACTGAGGAAGGCGGACTCTGCAGCGGACTCAAGCTGCTCACCGGCCGTCCAGAGCTCCCTGCTTGTCAGTAACGAGAGACCGCAGCACGATTCTGGCTGTGAGCATGACCAGCGGAGGCTGCCCTGTTGGAGCGGGAGGAGGTGTGCCGCAGCTGGGATGCCCGGCTCGCTGCAGAGCGCTGCGGGCTTGACCATCATGACTGTGAGCAGCTGCGGGAGTCTGCAGAGCAGGAGCGGCAGGAGCTGGAGCAGCACTGCGGTGAGTTAGCCAGCTGGGAGAAGGAGCACGACCGGCAGAGGTGCCTGGCCAAAGCAGCGGAGGCGACATTATGGGGCCACGAAATGGCGCTGCTCGGCCGGGAGGAGGTGTGTCGCAGCTTGGAAGCCCAGCTGGCTGAGGAACACCGCGAGCTGCAAGAAGCAGAGGTCGCGCTGCATGACCGAGTGGAGGCCCAGCTAGCCAAGGAGCTTGGCGAGCTGGCGGCTCGACCAGAGCGGGAGCTGCTGTGCAGGGCCACACGACCCTGTGAACAGGAGGCCCCGCGGCAGGGCCTGCCTGCCCCACAACACCCGGGCCCTAAGCGGGGTAGAAAGAAGGGCCGGGGCCAGGTGGATGCTGCACTGCCATAAGTCTGCAGCAGCCTCTTGCGCTGGCTGTCGCCAAGAAGGGAGCCTGGCTGTGGGGGGAAAATCACTGGGCATGGACCCCCTGGAAGCTGTACTGGGTCCCCTTAAGGGGCGGAAGAAGGGTCAACGCCGGCGGGGATCCGACGTGCCAGTATTGCCCAGCAGCTAGCCATGCCAGCACACAGGGAGCAACCTGCCCCACCATCGGAGGCAACGTACCGCCGGCTACCAGCGAACCCCTGGGACTCGCATCAGCACTGAGGTGGGAACTGGGGGGTGGCTTCCGGGATGGTCGACCTCTGAGGAGAGGGCAGTGTAGCACCGGCGGGGTGCATGTCCCAGCATGCCCCGCGTGCAGTTGTAAATAGCACTTGTATTGTTAATGGTTATTTTTCCTTATTGTCACGCATGGGTTTTGCCCATGTTTTGTGTACCCTGTCTGATCCTCGTGTGTAATTAGCTTATGTAAATCTCCCACCGTGTGTATCTTGTGTTTCTTCACAGCTTGCTACAGGAATTGCTCTGCTTCAGACAGCAGAAAAGATAATCAGGGTCTCTCTCCCCTCTGTCGCAGACATTTAAACTGTGTGCTGCATCCACAAAGCCACCAGGATTACGGATGACCCCACACACCCCTCCCACATTCCTTTCTCCCTCCTTCGGTATGGCAAAAGGTTATTTTACTGCCAGGATAGGAAATAGTTTCTTCCCTCAGGCCGTCAGACTGAACCAGAAAAGAATCACGAACTGTATTTCATACGCCATTTATTATATTCTGCACACTCTCTGTCCTGCTGCTACTGTTTGCACTTCTGCACTTTTATTACAATTTATTGCCATCTAGCTGCTAAAATACAGTACAGGTTGTAATACTGTATCGGCAATAATACAACTTATTCAATATCCACTCAAACCACCACGGTTCGACTGCACTGTATGTTGTCGCGTCCTGTAAATTGCACTGTGTAGTCCCGTATTACTTCTGTCCTTTTGTTTTTTGTGCACCTTGGTCCGGCGGGCCCTACTTCACTTAACTTCCTGATAACTGAACATAGCGAAGAAGTTACGTGAGAAATGCCACCAAATAATTTTAAGTAAAAACATAAATTTTATTCTTAAGAAATTTTAAATAGTATTAAGCATTCCTGCAACACGGATATTGTGCTTTGGAAAGCCATTTAATGAGAAGCTTTACAGATTCAAACGGGTCAAGGCCAATCGTTTTCAGCCCAACGCAGACGAAGTGTTATTTAAGCTGCCGTATAAACACGATCTGCAGCAGAATACTCTAAAGAGATTTACTCAGCGTGAATAAAGTGCTTAACTGGACAAATTACCATCTGCATTTATTATGTGCCACTTGAGCACAGACACCAAATTGTAAGTCAGGCCGACTGAAGCTCTGCCATTCGTCTGACGCAGAGGAAGCGCTTTCCGGCGATCTGCTGCTCCCTGTTCATGGCTCCATATGCTGAATTAATTGGCCTTACGCAGTATTCACGGCATTTAAAGTTTCACAATTAAAATCTAACGTGCAAACTGAAATAAGAATGGGAATTTGGCGGAATACCTTCTTAAAAATGCCTGCTTTCATTTCCCACTTGCTCGCTGAAACATGAATCTGTTCTGTTCAGTGCAAGCGCGACAAACACTGGCAAAATCCCATAATATTTCTTTAAAACAAGAACGATAATATCAGCATGTTATAGTCAGTTTTACTTAGTCAAGCATCTGGGTAGCAAATGAAATTAAACCAAATTAAGACGCGCTTAATAAATAGGTTAATTTCGAGTCAGTCGTCTAATCTAGTAGCCCTCTGTCTTTTTTATACCGTGAATCAACACGGGGCATCAGCCCCGGCTCCTTACGGTCATTACAAATAAACAGCGAAAGACATTGCCTGTGCGCTCCTACTACTCGTAAATGAACAGCAACAAAGCCAAACAAATTTATTAACATATCAGCAATGCTACAGCTGTTCACTCGGTACAAACACACCCCGACACACGGAGGGTAAGGCAAGACAGGGACTGAAGACGAAACCGGGACCGAGACTCACCCAGAATACTGTGGCGTATACGATGAGAGTCGCCTTCAGGAACAGGTACGAAAACTTTTCACAGTAGCGCACCTCGCTTGACATGTTTCAGCTGCTGCGTTTTAACTTCCCTACCGTGCAGCTTTTACCTCGCTGGCGTCCTGCCTTGACACTTCCTGCTAGTCCACTCTCCGTACCTGAAAGCACTCCATTATCTGTCACTCTGTCGGCCGGGACAGCGCTTTGATTGATAGGGCTCTGTTCCAATGGGAGATCTGCTGCTTTAACTGCACACGAATGCCGTGTGTTTCATCAGGCTATAAGAATCTATAAAACATATCGGTTAGCTTAAAACTGGACACTGTCTAGGTTCTAAATAGTGTTTATGCTAATTAGTTGTAATCTACCCACCTGATTCCCTTTAACCTGTGTTGCTTTTTGATTTTTTGATTTTTTATTATGAGTTATCTGTCCATGGTTTGCCCTGATTCTCTGTGTGCATTTAAGTGCTTGCTAGTGGTGGGCGATACTGCAAAATCTGATATCGATCCGATACCAAGTAAATACATGGCCAGTATCACCGATTTCGATACTTATTAAACTTAAAAAAAACAGCACAATTTATTTTATATAAATGTGTAGGCCTATGTTTTATGAAGAGAAGGTGGAGGCCTTAATGTCCAGTTGTAGACTACTTTCTTCCCTTCAGAGCTATATTTTGGGTGGGATTTGAACCCTGATTGCTTGATTAAGGCTCAAGCCCTCTATCTACTACACTACAGCGGCCCTCATATCATATTCATCATGTTAAAGCAATAGTTTGGAGTAATTACAATCATAGCCCTGTTGTAGAGCTTGCCAAGTGCTTTCAATGGGAAGGAGACGGAAAGAATTTGGAACAACATATACCAAATAGCGAACCGGCATCTAACGCTAATTGAATGGAAAATAGAGTAACGTGAGCTTATGTTCCATTGAGTTAGTGTAAGCAGGGCGTTCGCCAATCGGTCTGTGTTGTTCCAATTTTTTTCACTTTCCTTGCTATCGACAACACTCACCAAGCTTATATAACAGGGCTATGATTGGAATTACTCCAAACCATCACTTTAATTTCATCATTGTCAGCCCCTGCAAAATAATGTTGCTTTAATAAATAAATAAGTAGAAGTTTGTGCCGTTGAAAAAATCCTCTCAGATGGCACAGATGTTGCGATGACACTCAAGTGTTTCTTGGCAAGCTTGCTGAGAGTAGGAAATGTTGGTTGATTGTTTTTCCACCAAAGAAGTGGGTCTTGATCCCTCAGAATCTGTTTTTCTTCTGAGTAACGATGCATTTCAATTAACACATCAGTGCCTGTTGTGCGATGCTGCTGTGTTGCAAGGACTTGACTGTCAAACTCTGCCCATATCCCTTTTTGTGCAGGTGGAGGTGTAGCAGACTCTGCAGGGGCATGTGAAGTAGAAGCCATAGCTGAGGCAGAGCTAGAACTGGAGCTTGGTCTGGGAGCTGAGGCCTGCAGTGACTGCATGTCAGTCAGGAGTCGAGCTTTCATGGTTTCAACATTTGTTGAGTTGCGGAAGCCAAGATTTTTAAATCTTATGTCCAGGAAGGTACTGACAGCGAGGCCATAAAATGTTTCAATGTTTCTGAAACGATGTTGGCACTGTGCAGACAGCTCAGCTGCAAGCTTGCTACCTTCACATGAATAAGATGCAGTTGACCTGAGAAGTAGGGAAACCAGGGGAATCACTTTTGAAAGTAACATGTTTTTCAGAAGAGATTTATTTTGTAACCTCCTCAAATAGTCTCAGTGCATCAAGAGAGAGACTGATCAGCGACCATTCTTCCTCAGTCATGCACAGTGTGCTCTTCCCAAACAGACAGAGGGCTGTGGTGATAGCTTCCCTCTGCTCCAGTAGTCTTTCAAGCATGTAAGACAAGGAGTTCCACCTTGTTTCAACTGCTAGGATCAGTTTGTGCTCTGGAAAGTTATGCTGTTTTTGCACTACTTTAAGCCTCTCTGTTGCTCTTGTGCTGTGGTGAAAAAAACTCACAATAGCATTGCACCTCTCCTTGAGGCTGAGCAGGTCTGGGAGGGCCTTGATGGAATCTTTAATGACCAAATTCAAAGTATGAGCAAAACATGGATAATGTGCTCAGCTTGCTTTCTGTACAGCATTAACCATATTAAAGGCTTTATCCGTGATTACGGCTTGAACTTTGTCAGTGATGCCCCATTCAGTTGTTATCTTGATCAATTCTGAGCTAATGTTTTCTGCAGTGTGTTGATTTGTAAAACTGCAGGTTTCTAGGACGAATGCCTGCATTTGCCAGTCGTCATCAATTACATGACATGAGACAGTTAAATATGCCTCTGTGGATCTTGATGTCCACATGTCTGTTGTCAGTACAGCATGTTCTGCACTGTCAAGATATTTCTGAACTTTAGAGTGGCACTCTGCAAAAAGTGAAGGTATTTTCCCTTCCATCAAACTTTTCCTACTAGGACTCTTGTAGCGTGGGTCCATTGTCTTAGCAAAATTCCTAAACCCCTTATCCTCAACCACAGAGAGAGGTTGCAGGTCCATCATAATCATTTCACAGAGGCTCCTTGTGATGGCACTTGCTCTTGGGGAATCACCTGAGATGAAATGAAATACCTAAAATTACCCTACAATACCCTTATCATACGAATCTTATCCTTTCCATTTGTGTGTTTTCTCTTGAAATTTGTTGTAGAAGCAGCGCTGTCAAGACTTTTACAATTATATTGTCAAATAAAAAAGTGTTCACTCAGTGTTTATCATTGTGCAATAAAAGGCATTATTTTGAGCATGACTTCACCGATCGTGCTGATTAGCAATTTAGCACTTAATCATTTAATGAGAACACTGACGTTTATTAAAATGAGATCCTAAAAACAATGGCAGACCAAATTAAACGATGGCCGTCGCCAGAATCTCGTTTATGTGGGAAACTCAGCATGTCTGTAGTTAGGCTACTGCATCAGTCATGCATCTTCTAAATTACCTGGATATTCCCTGCCTCTCTGAAGAGACTCTGCCAATGAACTCTGCCTCGGCGCAGGAGGTCTTTCTGACAGCTCTCTCTCCTCCTCCCTGCGTGACTGTAGCTCAGTGTATTGTGTTTTGTGTATTTTCAGGTGTTTGTATAGGTTGTTTGTGTTACCACAATATTTAACGCTTTTGCGACACACATATGCTTATTTAGCATAAAGGTAACAGTTCCTGTTGTGCAGGGGGAAAAGAGATACATGAAAGTGGCCAGGACTTATAAAAGTTCCCGGTTGAGCCAGCCAGCAATCCTTGTTGCAAAGCATTCCCCTCTCTGGTTTTATTCATGACATCATCAGTGATTAGTCAACGTCGACTTGACTTTCATGACATAATATCAACTTTAAAAAACCTTAAGTCATGCAATCCCTAGTCTGTACCTTCACTGTGGCCAGTTTCTGCTAACATAAATATACCGAAGAGTCTTTGTCTGGAGCAATGACGGCGTACAGGCTTCAGCTGAAATACAAGTAGGGCAAGATTTACTTCACATTCTTACTCGTAAGGGCCATTTTTTACTCCACATTTGCAATGCATTAGCTTACGTGTGCTGTTGCAGCGTAAGTAGTGTTGCTGTATGGAACACCATCTTATGGCACTCTGTGTGGTCCAAAACTATGCTCTTGCTACATACACTGTATTGGCAAAAGTATTGGGACACCTGCTTTTACACACACATGAACTTTAATGACATCCCATTCTTAATACATAGGCTTTAATATGGAGTTGGCCCACCCTTTGCAGCTATAACAGCTTCTACTCTTCTGGAAAAGCTGTCCACAATGTTTAGGAGTGTGTTTATGGGAACTTTTGACCATTCTTCCAGGAGAACATTTGTGAGGTCAGACACTGATGTTGGACAAAAAGGCCTGGCTCGTAGTCTCCACTCTAATTCATCCCAAAGGTGTTCTATTAGGTTGAGGTCAGGGTTCTGTGCAGGCCAGTCAAGTTCCTCCACACCAGACTCGCTTATCCATGTCCTTATGGACCTTGCTTTGTGCACTGGTACGCAGTCATGTTGGAACAGGAAGGGGCCACCCCCAAACTGTTTCCACAAAGTTGGGAGCATGAAATTGTCCAAAATGGCTTTGAATGCTGCAGCATTAAGAGTTTCTTTGACTGGAGCTGCAGCATTAAGGGTTCCTTTCAACTGCTGTTGTTCCCAATTGCTTCCACTTTGTCATAAAACCACCAACAGTTGACTGTGAAATACTTAGTAGCAAGGAAATTTCACGAATGGACTCATTTCACAGGTGACATCCTATCACAGTACCACGCTTGAATTCACTGAACTCCTGAGAACGACCTATTCTTTCGCAAATGTTTGTAGAAGCAGTCTGCATGCCTAGGTGCTTGCTTTCATATGAAGACGCGCCTTATAAACAGGTTAATTTCGAGTCAGTCGTCTAATCTAGTAGCCCTCTGTCTTTTTTATACCGTGAATCAACACGGGGCATCAGCCCCGGCTCCTTACGGTCATTACAAATAAACAGCCAAAGACATTGCCTGTGCGCTCCTACTACTGTGGGCATGATTTCTATGGAAGTGATTGGAACACCTGAATTCAGTGATTTGGAGGGGTGTCCCAATACTTTTGGCAAGAGTGTACACTCACATCAATAGACATAATATCTGCGTATTCACGTGACATTTACATGTAGATTCAAATAATGGCACATCATAAAACAGGTGTGTTGCCAGAGTCTGCGCTTTCGTAATATTCAAAATTAGAAGTCTTGACCTACATTGCCACCATATGTTTAACGTAACATTGTTTAAACTAATATTTAGATTAAACCATCCTCTTAAAAGCATAGCCAAATTTAGATTTATTATCTGTCCGCTGGTACCTGAGTTTTGTTTTAGCGAAATTAGCCTTGTATTCTAACTCATCAAAGCAAACATACATTTTTCAAACATGCATTTGGAATTCAGGAGGTTGAATCTGCAGGATGTCATGTGGGATCTGCTTTGAATCACACCTGGTTTATACCAGAAAAATCTAGAAAATGCTAAATTAAATTTTGAATATCTCAAACATCTGGTGATATTTTCATCTTGTCTATACATCCACATCATTTCATAAACAGCAGTACTTAGACCCTGTTTTTCAGCTTCTGATGAAGTATGAACTCGGTTGTATGTGCACAAAAAATGCGTAGAATGGACGCAGAACACCTGTGCTGGCCATAATGCATAAGCACACATATTGTGAATGTCAAACATGAACTGGTACTAAGTTTGAACCATATTTCAGGCAACTTGGCAAAGACGAATTGTCTGTGGCACATTGCAACGGGTCTTGAGGTATGCATTTTTATAGCTGATAAAGTCTTTGCTGTGACCCCTCACCAGAGAATTTGCTGCTACTCATTAGAACATAAGAAATTTACAAACAAGAGGAGGCCATTTGGCCCATCAAGCTTGTTTGGGGAGAATTCAACTAATAGCTTACAGTTGTGAAAATCTTTATTTCTCATTTAAAGGAACCTAAGGTTTTAGCTTGCACTACAGTAATAGGAAGACTATTCCGTTGTCACGGATCCGGGCGGCTTGGACACGAGAACGTGGCATAGTGCACACAGAAAAAAGGATGGACGACCCACTGGCGGCTCCAGGAACACAAAGGGGTTTATTACATAAAGCAGAAGACACTACAATAGGGTGACCAGATAATCCATGTCAGGGAGGACACTCTGAGCTAGGACAGGAATTGTAAATTACCATTTCAATTAAGCGGACCTGGATTTCACTTGAGCACTCAGCTCTTGCTGTGTGCTGATTGGTCAGTCTCCTATAATCATGCATGTGTCACTAATGCTAATGTGAAACAGCTGGATGAGTCTTTCAGTCAAGGAAACAAACCAGTCAAAGCACAAGAAGACCTAAACTATTTAGCCGAGCACAGGAGCCTTTCAATTAGAAAGTAGTTTGTAAAACCCGAAGTAGCTCAAAGTGTCCTCCCTGACATGGATTGTCTGGTCACCCTACACTACAAACACAACAAAACCAAAAAAGACCATGAGGGTCAAAAACTAAAGGGAATAAACTAAGACTAAATCACAAAAAACCAAATACACATCAAACACTGAAAATAGCAAAACCATTGAACATCGCAAACAACAACAATGAACCACTGGGGAACTGAACAGAAGCAGGAACTAAAAAACTAAGGGGTAACGAGACTAACACAGGACAGGTGAGGCTAATTAACAAAGACCAGGGAAACAGGGCACAGGTGAAACTAATAAACTCAAAGGAACTAAAAACAGGGAAACTAAGAACTAACCAAGGAAACCAAAACCAACACTAGGGAATTACAAACAGGTAAAGACAAGCAGGGGCACAAGGAACAAAACCAAATACAAAAATCACCAGATACAATAACTAGAAACACTAAGGAGCAACATACAAAAACAGGAGGCAGGATTCAATCACAGGACAGATGGGCACACAGACAACCACATGCTCAACACATTGAGCCACAAGACCAGACAGACAACAAGGGAGAACAAAGACTAACATAAAGAACGGAATGACCAGCACCACCTGCTGGTCAAACGGGGAAGGGACATGGTAGGACCACAGCAGGGGCTGACCCTGAAAAATTCAGTGTTTGTTTAATGTTTCCAAGACATTGCGACGTGGATTGACAGCAGCCATTTTGCAACTGTTTATGGATTGGTCTTTAGTGATTTAGGAATCCTCTCAACTACTTTTTAGTTCCCCCAGACTTACAGTAGGTGCTACTTTTAGCGCTAAGGGGCTTTGTGAATTGGTCTTATGCTACATCCACACTAATACGTCATTTTTTTTTTTCTTATGGGAGTTTCCGAAAGAAGAAGACAGCTTCTCCTTCAGAGAAGTTGTCCAAGTATCTGTCATTGATCTGTGGCTGTACAACAGAATTAGTGTGTTTTTTGTACCTCTGGATGATGGTTGTCTCCCAACATGGGTGTTCACTGTTACCCTTGAGGTCCACTTCACCCAGGTGAAAAAACCAGCAGAAATTGCAATGATTCTTGTCTAGAATCCAGCCATAGTAGAGGGCAATGTAAAACACCACAGTAGCAGACATTACAAGGAGCAGCAACATGGATGTATGGTTTACGTTCTGAGCAACCCCAATATGAAGGAAGTCCAGCCAAGAGCTTAAGCAAACTGAGGAGATATCACATCTATGGGTGACTTTCATGCATCTAAAAGACTTATCTCAAGGTCAACATAGTTGAACCCGCCTTGGTAGCCAGTACCACACACATAATAGTTTATAGCCTTAAGTTAAAGTGTAATTATGATTGTTAATCTTGGACATAATCAGAGCAGGATCACTTACACCAGTGTTTCTCAAACCATAAGAACATAAGAACTATACAAACGAGAGGAGGCCATTCGGCCCATTGAGCTCGCTTGGGGAGAACTTAACTAA